GCTGGGCTCCAGGACACTGAAGAACTACCCTAGATTTCTTAATTGCTTGAAGGTCAAAGTGTCTCTTGTTAACTTCTTCATTAAAAGTGGAAGTCTGTTTTGTTACTACTAATAATGACTGTTGTTAACTTCAGTTATTCCTCCTTCCTCCAACCTGGAACACTGTTCAAATTTGGGGAATTTTTTAGCTCTTTGTCCATCTTGCACTTAGGGCAAAACTGTCTATTGGACTTAGGACACAGGAACGTGTAGTATAAGCCAGCTCTTTCTCATTGTTGGAAGTCTTTTAAGTTGGAACCAGAGTTCCAAGATAACAAAAGCGCTCTTTGAAGGAGATGGCTAGGAATGACTGAATTATTTACTATTATTAGAAGAACAAGTGGAATAGCTCATACTGGGAGATGTAACAGGAATAGGATTTCTGGAGGTTAGTGGAACACTGGGGGAGCCTTAGTGGGTCCCCTCAAGACCCACTCCCACCCCCACCCCACTTCTGCTTCAGTTGAAGCATTTATCCTTTTAACTGTTTTATGTTTAGGGAATCCCATGTAATATATTATTCGGGAAAAAATGGATGTAAGTAAAGGTTGAAAACTACTCTTAAAGAGGAAAGGGCATGCATATCGTTCTTGAAGAGTGTTCTCTAATTTCTAATTTTCAAATTCCACTGTGACCTGAACATTTTTTTTAACTCATTAAGAGACTTTGTTTCATCATTTGTGAAATGAGATAGTCTCTATTACATCAGATTGGTGTGAGAATTGGGTATAGACACTACATCCTACGTAAGCTATCCCTTTCCTCTCCCAAGTTTATGGCTGAAACAGCTAATTTTTCCTGAGTGGAAGTGGCCTCAGGATCTTTCCCATACTGTGCTCCAAAATATCAGAATTTGCACGTGAATTGAAACACATTTACTCTCCCTTTCTTACAGTGGTAACACTTTAGACCAGAAGACTAGGTATAGAAGTGTTTAAATAAAATGACTCTATGAATGGTAGAAAATGGTTGTGTCATGTGACCACAAGCAATGTAACTTGAGGCAGCAGTTAATAAAAATCTCTTCAAATAAGGATTTATTAGTGAAATAATAGCTAATCATGTCTTGTTAAGTAGCTACTATGTGCCAGGCAATATTCTATTCACTTTACATGAATTAACTCATTAAATTGTTGAGACAATTTAATGAGTGAATTAAAGTAAAAGACATATCTTTAAAGTAAAAGACATATCTCATCATGGCATTGCACAGATTCTGACATTGTTTTATTTTATTTATTTATTTATTTTCTTCTTATTATTCTATTACTTCCTGTTCTTGATCAGTTGAATCAACTGATTTTACCACCTTACAAATATAAAATTAACAGATGTTTTAGAATACAAAGAAATAACCATTGTAACTGAAGTGACCATCTGTAATGGTTAATGACTCTTCCGTGGACTTTTCCCATTTGGAAAGCTTGAAGGCAAAGAAGGATATACTAGATCCAGTTTGTTTAAAGTATGGACTACAGAACTGAGTAATCTAATGAAAAGTTCTGTCTCTAAATTTCAAATTGACAGCCAAATTTAAACTGAGTTTGAGACAACAGAGCTTGACAATTTCTGGTATGTTCATTGTGCTGGTAAACACATGGCTGGAGATTCCTGGGGAGAAACTCTGTGACCACCAGTTTGCAAGTGATGATGTTAGTTTAGGATGACCTTGGTCTATTTGTGATTCTCTCTAAAAAGAACAATGTGGCTTTTAGTATTTATATATTAACTTCACTTTAGAAAATTTATTTTTTCTGAATTGTGGAGAAACTTTAAGAAAGAGCAGACGCATTATATATTTAACATTTGATATTTTGACCCTTTGACAGTAATTTTTGTAAATCATGTTCCAGGCCCGTGATATAAGATAATGTTACCAAACCAAACTTGGGTCCACTCACCCATGCAGTAAAGCCAATCTACTGATACTGGGGTGTGGTAAAGGAAAGTACAACGTTTATGTTTATCGTAAGGTGCCCAACATGGGGCTAAGCAAGGAGTATGGGCAGCTCATGCTCAAAAGATCCAAACTCCCCAGTGGCCTTCAGGGAAGGGTTTTTAAAGACAAAGTGAGGGAGAGGGTCACAGAGTGCCTGATCAGCTCGCGAACATCCTCCTGATTGGTTGGTGGTGAGGTAACAGGGTGGTATTTTGGGAGTTAACATCATCAACCTTCTGGTTCCAACCTGTCTGGAGTCTACATACTGGAGGTCAGTATGCAGTTAACTTCTTCCACCTCGTTGGCAGTGGGCGGGTCTTAGTATCTGCAAAACAACTCCAGGATATGGCTCAGGATATTATCTTTAGCCCTTGAAGAGGAACTAAAGGTCCTTGACTTTGTTTTATGGCCAAACTATTATTATTTTGTCTTGCCTAACTGTTTTCATTTGTTTCCACATTTTCTCACTTCTCTGATTAAATTTGCTCTTTGGAACTCAGGGAAGGCCTAGGAGGCTAAAGCTTTTCCATAAACAAGAGCCAGGGGATGGGGTGGGGAGGTGTCTGTCCCCAGGAAGGTTCTGCAGGGTCCTCCTCAGTTTCAATAATTTTTAATTGTGTTGCATTGTGTTATCATTTTGGGTTCTCTGTGTTTAGAGCCTGGTGTTTGGAGTGAGTGACATAGCTGGTGAATGAACCTAGGAAGCTTCCTAGTGCTCACATATATTCTAGCTTTGTTGTTCTTTGCTTGCCATTGCAAATATATTTTATGGGAAAACCATAGGCTATTCAAGAATTTGAAAATATTGAAACATGTTTATATTGGTTGTTAAGATATTGAAATAATTTATACTGGTTGGTAAATAAGTGCTACCCCAAGACTCGCAAGCAGCTCTTCTCTTCCCTGTCAGCAACTCCCCTGTGAGGATTGCCAGGTACAGTATAGGATGTCCACTTACATTTAACCCTGAAGTAAATTATGAATAATTTTTTTAGTTTAAGCACGTCCCATAAAATATTTGGCACATACTTATATAAAAATTTATCTGTGGTCTGTCAGAAATGCAAATTAACTGGGCATCCCAATTTTTTAAATTGCAAAATCTGATGATCCCACTCTACTTGGAATTCAGTCCTATTTACAATCCAGCACTAATGGGTGAAGTCCTGGATTCAGGGCCCTATTAGTCCTTTCTGACTAGTTGGTGTTCTTTCGTACAAGTCATTAAATATTTTTAACATAATCTCTGGCATGGCTTTAATGCATGTCAAGGGCCTATCTACTGTATCATATTCTTTCTAAAATTTGATAAGAATAGCATTACTTACTAATTCTCTTATGTTTTGCTTTTAGACTCCACTCTTTCTTCGCTGTTTTTGTTTTTACTGAAAGTTTTTTTTTCTAAAGACATTTTCATATCATGCAAAACTGTAAGTCTGGTACACCATTTTTTGGTCACCCTTGCACAAAGAAATGACAAAAACCCAGTTACAAAGAAACTAAGTTACTACATACAATCTAACTTTTTAGAAGAGCTTTGGGTATCTACAAACTTGACAACGTTCCTTGTTTGTGTCATTCAGACTGGCAATCACTACTTTCCATCAAAGTAATTCTGTATTACTAAAAATAAGATATTCCATGGATTTTGCCATCTTGATATAATAGCAAAGTCAAATGGTAACTGTAAGCAAATCTTACTATATACAGAATATGCATCTCTGAAAAGTGGTCTGGGAATATATAAATTTTAAAGCAATCATATCCTTAATGTTTGTTTCCCAAAGTACATTCCACAGGGTACTGATTATGAGAAAATTATAGTTGTTTTCTGGGAAAAGTTTTCTTGCCGGGGACATGGTAGATTAAACCTAGTTAATCGGTTACCTTTTCAGTTGGATTTTTTGGAGACTTTATTAAGTACAGGTGTGAACTTCCAGGGAAAATTTGTATGTATGTCTAAGTATGTAAGGTATGTTTGAGTGTGCTTGTGTGTGTGCGTGTGTGTGTGTGTGTGTCTACATTTCCCAAGCTTACTGTAGCAATTACTCTTGTCACAAAGGTGGGCTTTCAAACACTGCTGCAAATTCCTATTTTGCAAGTCAGAAGCCTGGTATTAACTCACGTTCTCTTTGTATTCATTCTGTAATCGATCCTAATCCCCCCAGCAAATGGATGCCGCTAGTAGACTCCAGTAAAGGTCACATGCTCGCAAAAGCAAATAGAAATACGTATGGATAATTTTCAAAATATCCTTAACATCCTTGCTAGTTAATTTCATTATACTTTCATGGGTACTTTATTTTTACTTGAGGTAGAAAGGCTGATAGCTACTGTGGGTAATTTTACAGACTTGGATAAATATCTTAAGATTTCGATGCCTGTTTCTTTAAATATAAAATGAGGATAATGTTGCTTGAATTAGCTGCTTTACAGAAGAAGGTGTCAGTGTGTGTGAAGGGTGGGATGAGGGAAGACTCGATATAGTAATGCATTTGAAAGTGCTTTTAAAAAACCAAAGCATTATTCACATGTGCAGTATGATGATGGATCTTCAGTTGACAGTGGCTTATCCACTCCAGCTTTTAGTTTTCTGATTTTCCAGACTCACTATTAGTCCTACTATTCTATACACAAAGATATAAAACTGTGACGTGATACTAAAGGAAAAGTTACAGTATTTTCCTTTAATGCAAATGACCATTTCCTGAACTGTTTGATTTGTAAATATGTGCTTTCATATGATGGATTTCTGGAAGTGTGTGCCCTTTAACCTAAAAGGTACCAGCCCTTACACACCAAGGTTGTGCCATTGATGGCCATCAATGAGATAATGAAGGAAACTTCAGTTAGTGTTTCCCCTGCATCTATTGTATATTAATGGTGGGTGATTTCAGGTCCCCAGCCATATTATGCCGATATTGTTTTATGACCATCCACAGTACAGAAAGACAGGAGGGCTGATGGAGTTGTCACGCTAACACATGTTCTATCCTCTCTTGTCCCCCTGCCACCTATCCAGAGAGTGCAGCATCCACACGAGTGTCCCTCCTGTGGAGGCTTTGGCTTTCTTCCGTGCTCCATCTGCCACGGGAGCAAAATGTCAGTGTTTCGAAACTGCTTTACGGACTCTTTCAAGGCCCTGAAGTGCACGGCTTGCAACGAGAATGGCCTTCAGCGCTGTAAGAGCTGTGTTGGTTAAACAGAGTTCCCACCCATGGGGCACCTGGTTTCATTGACTGAAAGTAATAATTTGGTTTATACTTTTTTTTAAAAAATGGCTATGTTTCTGGATTAATCAATAAACTTTGTTTATAATAAGTCCTTTGTTTGGAGCTTTGCTGTGACCACTTTCATTGATGTATTAAATAAATGTTTATTCAACCGCTACTATGTGCCAAGCCCTGTGCTAGACCCTGGTTTCTAACTGGAATTAATGGAGGGCCTGATAAAATTCCAAGATATCCAAAGTCTGGTTCCTTACATGTGTTTGATTTTCTAAAGAAAATATACAATATATCCAATGGTGTCTATTGCAGTGCCACCCTATTGTTTAGGATGAGTTAATTCAGCTCTCCAGATGCGTACATTTTATGTAAGCCTCAGCTGTAGGGAAGAAGAGAGCTCTGGGTAGTGGGAAAGAATATGATCTTACTTATACTTAAGGAGTAAATTATTTTTAAAGCTGTAAAATAGTCTTGGAGCTGATGATATTAATGATAAATTATTAATTATTATCTGATGAATTTCTTAGTGATGATACAAAAGCTGCCAGAAGACTTATCTGGATTTATTGTTTTAAACATCTGCTTTGTGCTATTGTCCCTGAAAACCCTCCAAAAAGATGCTGTTATGGTTCTCTTGAGCTGGACACAAAATATTACATAGTTTGAAAACATAGTAGACAATATCAGCAAAGTGGACAAAAGGAATTTCTGCTATAATTATTAGCTGATGCCTACCTGTACATGTGTCTGTACTCTGACAGATTCCCTTATGAATGGTTTTAATGAATCACCTTCACTATATCTGTGATAAGGTAATTAAAACATTTTACATCTTGGTTTTTCAAAAATCTATAAATATTTACCGAGTACTTTCTAATCATCCAGGCATAGTAGAAGGCATGGTTTCTGCTTTCATGGAGCAGAAGAGGGAAGTATTAAACAAATAATCATAAGCAAGATGAGTCTTATAAATACTACACAAATGGTACATTGTGCTCTGGGAATGTGTAGCAGGAGAGCCAACCTAGATGTTAGAAAACGGTAAGAATAGACTTTGTTGAGCAACTGATATTTAAACGGAGACATCATGGGTAATTGGTCAACTAATTAGTCACAGAACAAGGGGGATAATACTTCAGGTAGAGGAATAGCATGTTTGGGGACTCTAAGGTCAGATAAAAGTTGATTGTTTGAGTGTTGGTGTGGATATGGCATAACTTAAAACTCATACATTGCTAATGAGAATGTTAAATGGTACAACCACTTAGGAAAACCATTTGATTGTTTCTAATAAATGTAAACATACGCTAATTGTATGCTCAGCAATTTTACTGCTACTTATTTATTCAAGAGAAATAAAAACATATGTCCATACCTTATAAGAGTTTCATGGAAGCTCTATTCATGATAGCCCAAAAGCAGAAAGATTTCAGATACCAATGACAGGAGAAATGATAAGCAAACTGTAGTATATTAATACAGGTACACACTTCCTAGTAGTAAAAAGGAACAAGCTATTGATTCTAGCAATAATATGGATGAATCTCAAAAACATTTTATGAATAAACTTAGCCAGATACAAAGGGTATGTACTATGTGATTCCATTTATATGAAGCTATAGAATAGGCAAAATTAACCTATAGAATGGCTGCCTCACAGTGGGGAGGGGACAGGAGGAGGAAATTAAATATGAACAGAACTAAGACAGTGGTAGAGTTACGGCTAGTTGAGAGTAGATTTCCCCTCTGTCAGGATAAATGAGTTTCTTGCATCAATGAACAGTTTCTCATCACAATTCCAATACGGTTCTGAGATTCTAGAATTAAGTAGTAAGCCCTATCCAAAAGTTCCTTCCTGATTACTCAGGCCTTGGCTATGTTTCTGCAAATCCAACCATAGTCCCAGTGTCCTCTTGTCTGGGGGTACATTCAGGATGGAGAAATACAACAGTACAAGAAGTTCTAATTTTCAGGCCCCATCTTGGACTATGGGTTCAGAGGACAAAAGCTCGCTGACTTTCAATTGTGTTCATGAGGAATTTATTTTGCTTTCTATCTTTATTCTGTTTTTCATGTACTGGCATGTAATTAAAGTGTTATGTTCTCTGCTAGTTATTGATGAGCCTCTAAAGAAGAGCATTATGAAAGAGTAATGAAATTTAAAAGAAAATCTTAGACATCTTGTAGAATTGCAGAAGTTAATGAGAGAAAGAGGCTCGGAAAATAAGTCATGATAGGCTTATTTAAACATAAATTTGCATTAACTTTCAGAAAGAACTTGGTTTAGACGCTTCACATCTATCCGCTTCAGTCTTATAAAATGTAAATGCGAGGTAATTAAACCTGATATATTTATTCTGCACCGTTGTTGTGTGGGATTAATTAGAATATATAGGAAAGTACTTTTAAAACACAAAGCATTATACAGAGGCATAGAATGATTTCCTAATCACCATGAAAATTATGCATCTTCAATATATCCTTTTACTGACCAGATAAGGAAATGAACTCACATTCATTGGACACTTCTGTATGCTTGGCTTTTTAGAATTCTCACCTATTCTTCACAATACTGTGAAGAAACTGAGATTCGGAATGTTAATTCACTTTTCTAGAGTCTTGAAATTTATCCTAATTTGTTGTATCTTAAGTGTCCATGTGAGCTGCCTTTATCTCTGGTATAAAATGGGAAATCAGTCGAGAGCAAACAACAAAGTTGCTCAGAGATAAACACCTACATAAACAGTAGAGTCGAAATGAAGAGAAAGGTCTATCCTGTGCTTCTGTGCTCTTGTAACTTCTCTGGAAGTATTCATTGATTTCAAAAGCCAGGAAATGCTGGTTATTGGCAAAGGGCACAGAGTAAAGCAATCAGGCTGTGAATAATTTTTTTAAAAAGATTAAGAAGAGGAAATCAGGAGATGATGCATACCTAATAATATAAATATATAGTAATTTTTTAATCTTCTTGTCCCAGGGTCTTTTTTAAAGATAAATTATTGGTATATTGATTGCAGTTTTGTCTGGTCTTTCATGCACAAACCTCACACATAGCAGAGAAGCTAGTCTGTAGTTCCTCAAGGCAGAGTGAAAAATTTAAACTTTTTTGGCAAGCAATATGCATATAATATCCTTTTAGATTTCAGATATTGTTTCTCCTGATCTTTTGTAGTTTCCTCACCTATAATAATTTGACAGTAATTTTTTTGGTTTTTTTACTTGACTTCACAGAGTTATTTCTAAGGCATTAAACTTAGTTTCCATAAGATAAAACATATTTCTCTTTGTTCTCGAATTTAACCAGTCTGTGTAATATTTTGTTGTAATAAGCTATTATACTCAATAAAAATTAATATGTTATTATATAATTATACACACAATTGTAAACCCAATTACAAGGTAACGATTTGGGAAGAAACAAAACTGACTCTTGATAGATTCTGTTTGCTGGTAGCAGAAATATGCAGGCAGAGAGAGGTGTTTCTCCTGGTTGTAAGCATTCAGCAGGCAGGAAACATCCGAAGGAATGGGGAGCGTCTGCCAACCTTGAAAGTCTGCAAAGTGGAAATCGACTATGAAAGCTTTAGCTAACTAATATGAGGGTAACAGTAACCAGGGACATTTAATAATATGCTCAGGGTCATTCATCCTCACCTTCTGCCTTTCAGGTTCATCATAAGCTAGTATTGCTTAGCTACCAGCGTTTCAAAATGCAGCCTGTGTTTGACTTGCAGTGTTTGACTGGAGACTCAGTTACTTTGGAAGACATGTTGCTCTCTGCAAGGGTGAAACACTTCCACACCTGCTTCACTTAGAAAGAGACAGTTTCTCTCTGTGTCTGGCTTATTTCACTTCACACAATGTCCAAGGCATGATCTCACTTATATATATGGAATTTAAAAAGTTGAATACATAGTAGCAAAGAGTAGAATAGTGGTTACAAGGGGTGGGGAGCAGACAAACGGAGATATTAGTCAATGGGTACAACGTTGTAGTTCTATTGGATCAATAAGTTTTAGAAATCTAATGTACAGCATGATGACTAGAGTTACTAATGCTGTACTGAATACTGGAAATTTGCTAAGTGAGTACATTTCTGGTGCTCTCACCACACACGCTTGCATACACACACACATACACATGCACAGGAAAGGTACTGGTGAGGAGATGTGTAAATTAACTTGACTGTAGTAATCATTTCACTATGTATATGCATATAAATCATCATGTTTTACCTCAAATATATACAATTTATATTAAAAATAAAATAAAAATTAAAAAAATAGACAGTCTCACTGAACATACTGACACTTTTTTGCTTTACTGGAAGCCATTACAGAGATTCTTATCAGGAAGCACTCCTCTTTAGAGAACCATTGGAAATTCTTTGATGGGAGAAAAAAAATTTTCAAGTATGGGGGAGGATCCATGTTTCAAAGCATAATTCCGCTAAGAAAAGAAAGAAGACCCATTCTCATGGAAACTTTTGTTCTGTCCCTATCTGGAACTTTTTGAACTTTTTCATTGAACCTACCATAGAACACACTGGAAAACTCAAAATGCATGATTCAGTAGCAAGGTAACTTTGAAGAGAATATAACTTTCATAGAAGAATATAAGATAGCCTAAAACTTTGCTTATATGTAGCAAAACTGAAGCCGACTCTTAATATTAATACATATCTAGAAAACCCATATTGATTCTCTGCATTGTACATGGCTCATTTAGCAATCTCTGCTCTTAAGTAGTTACTTTTTTTCCCTCTGTTTTCTGTGATCTTAACCCTTTTCTTTCCATCCCCTTGTTAGAAGAATATCAATATAAATGTTATCTGAGTACCCAAAAGAGAGGTAGATAGATCAGCTACAAAGCAAAATGTTTGCATCATCTAGAAAATGGTGCTAGATGTGGTCCCTATTTTATACAATAAAAGAAAAATGTTAATACAAATGGAAAATAGTGATCTTTTAAATGTTTTTCTTATAAATTGCTAGTTGCTTTGGTCCATGTTTTGCATATTGTATATTTTTGCATACTGCTTTGCATTTGACAGATGAAGGCATTGTGAAGCCCAAAAAGCCCCCAGGAGAAGCA